GGTTTGTTGTTATTGGGCAGCACACAAAATTTCATATAATAGTGGTGCCCTTTATACAAATAACAGTAATACAGTAGTGACTGCAACAAGACATATCTTGAATTGGCATATAAGTGCTGTGATGTTTAACATTCTGATGTCTTCATAAAATTATCTCTGTTATTCATAGTTTTTATTGTATTTTCGTTTCATGCTTGTTGTTTCAACATACTGGTAAACAAGACTCATTTACAGTTTTATTTTAAGACATTCATGAAATGTACGATGTGCAAAATAAATTTGGCTTATTTGTATTTAATTTTCATTTCTTATTATATGCCTGTATATCTTTTGCAATTATGTATTACAATTTAACAAAATAATTAAAAATAATTAGTGGTAAAGCCATCATCGCTAAATATGGAAGGAAAATTGTATTGTCTGTTCAACTGAAATTATAATAATGTAATTACGATATGATTATATGTCTGGATCTGAGTATAACAGAAATATTTTCATAATGATTAATGGCACAATGAAAATGTATCTTTTGTAAAAGATAATCTGACAGTTTCTTCTTTTACAAGACAGAGTTGCTACATTATTAGCAATAATTATATTTGTACCACAATATTCATATAAAATGTTTCTTTGACATTTGTCCTTAAATAAGATTTGCCAAGAACTGTATTGACTGTGAGGCTGTCATAAAATATTTTTGTTGAAAATTATATTGCCTCTGTTTAATTTATTTTATTGCTTTTGAACTTGAAGCATAAGTACTTTAAAACTAGAACTGTTTCTAGCTCAAGAGTTTGGTGACAGTATGATCAGTATATTGCACATCAAATGATCACTTTCCCATCTAATATTAAAGTATTTTGAGTGTGAACTATTAAGCTTTGTATATTGGTTTCCTTGTTTCTGATAGTGATTTTTGCTTGATAGGAATGAGTTTTGGTAAGGCTGTATTTTTCTAAAATAAAATAAATAATCTGTTTTGCAACTTCCCCCCAAAAATTAAAGAATCACATGCAAAACAGCATTTCATGGAAATGCAGTTCATATTGCTTTTCATTTCAGTAAAAGATTTTGGGTTTATTATAACTTTTTCTTGACTCACATAACAAGTTTGCTTTACCTTTAAATTGTTTTCCTAACACAGAAGACAGTTCTTTACAGTTCTTGTAATAATGTGTAAGTGAGTGTGTTCATTTATGGTACACTGAACTACTGAAGCCAGGAAAATAGACAAGATACATCCATGGAATATCTTCCTATTTGGAACATTATTCTGCATGGTATAAAGAACACATAATTCCTATCCCAAATAATTCAGTGTAACACAGGCAGAGAAACCCATTTGCATTTGGCAATTGTCTGCACAGCCAGTGGAGTGATTGGGAATTAATCAACCTTATGAGCACAGTTAGATGACGAATGCCATGTAGAAAGTATTGGACTCCAGGCCACATGATTGTACACTGACCTTTCCCACTATCGCTCCTTGAGCTATTGGTATCATTTTATAGTAATAGCAGGGTAAATCAAGACTTACACATCACCTGTTGGAAGTCTTTGTAATGATAAGAACAGTGCAGTGCACTTTCATTCACTGCTCAAGAAACAAGTGACCAAGCTGTAAAGTGAATAATATGTTCAAAATAATTTAGATTGTCAAAGTGTTTGAAATTAATTTAACTAATTTGATATGTATATGGTTTCTTCCTAGTATGATGATTGTACTGTTTCAAATGTCAGTATATTTTTTGAGAATGTTTAAACTGTTACCTTGATGTGTACACTATTATTTTAAAATACTAAATTATTGTTTCCTATCATGATTCACTTCATCACTGCTGTGAAATTATTGAGGACACATGACTATTTAACCATAAAAGAGGGCTTTTAATCAAGTATTGAACGTATACAGTAAGTAGTATTATGGAAACTGAAACCATTTTAAAGTAATTTAAAAATTCTATAAACATAACTGTTTTTAAACAGAAGGACATCCAGGTTCCTTGTAAAACTTTTCTTGGTATTTCAACAATTTCCTAATTGTCTATAATTCTTGTGAACAGAGGTTAAGTTATGCATAAATCTCAGAACCTTTTATTTTGAGTTTGTTATTTATGAACTCACATTTCAGTGCCTGAACTGCTCTAGACTTTACAGAAACAAATTATCTTTGTTAAAAATACAACACTTGTTTCCAAGTTCAGAACTGTAAAATTATATTCTGTCACATGAACATTACACAACCTTCTAGAAATGATTTTATTTCTGACTTACATGCACATTGTCATCTACTGAATTAAAATAAAAATCTTGGTCATTCATTTTGGTTCTCTTCAAATGCAAACACTTCCATATGGGATAAGTGATGTAAAGTCTCAATTGAAACACAAAACCAAAGCCATGAAATGTTCAGCAAACAATTATTCCATTCAGACTTACTGTGTGGAAGCAATGTGGGAAAAGCAATCATAAAACAGTGCACATAATAATTTGTGTTGCATTAATACTGAAGACAAGAAAATGGTGCACAGCAGATCACCAAATGTTCTCTCAAATGTACAAGATAATTGATGGTCATTCCTTTTCCTTTAAAATTTATGAGATGGGAAATCATGGTTTTGTTAAAGACTGGTTTATAAAATGTCATTCCAGAAAACACAGTTTGGTTATAATCTCAAAGTATTGCCTGTAATCATTCCAATTTACCTTTCAGTTTCTGTCAACTTGTCACTTTGTCCTCATTAAAATGATAGTTGGCATTGGTCTGCAACTGTTTAGTACAGCTGCTGTTATACACTCACCTTGATATGATCTGAAGTTCCTTGCAGAATGTCACAAGGAATACTTTGAGCTTATAACCTACAAACAAACACGTGCTCATTCCATTTCCATATGAGATATTCCAAACCAGCAATTTACTGTAACAGCATTACTTAAATTTGTATTCATTCATCTTGCATGGAGTTCAGTTATGTTTCACCATGTTTCTAAATAATGACAAGATGAATTTTAACACAGATTAAAGAAATGCTGTTAATAATACTTGGCTGAAATAAAAAAAGAGGATAGTTTGTCATCCAAGAAGTTTATCCAGCATTCCACATGGTTCAAAGTTCATACAAGCCGTGCGGTAGTTGGTTGGCACTAATCAAAGTTAGAGCAATAATGATGATCATGTGCACAGAAGTAAAAATTAGTGGATTAATGGAAGATGCAAGTTATCAGGCAATTTTAATTAACATTTCAATACAGTGTTTATAATCATCCACACATTCAAGATCAGTGAAAGAAAAGGGGGAAGAAATATGGAAGGAAGCCATTACTATGTGCTGCTACCTAAGGTTGAATTTTAAATACTGTTAAACATGGTATAATTTGTGATTCGTTTTAGTGTACAGCTTTTGTTTATTTCAGGAATGCACATCAAACAGCTTCATCAGCATGTATTTCTGTGATGTGCTTATATATAAATGTTTTGGCATGAATTTTCCACTTTGGAGAAATTAAGGTTATATTGAAACCACTTGTTTAAATAAAATTGGATTAGCTGCTGTATATAACCAAAAGTATCATAACATGCAGAGCCTTGAAATATGCTATGTTAATATCTTCTAGATGTGCCAAATAACAGATATATATATAGAGTTTGCTTAATATCAATATTTAACCATCTAAAATATATTTTTTTAATGAACATGGATACGTATCCTACTCATACTTTGTGTTTTTAATTAATTGAGCATTTCATATAAATAATGTGATATGGTGTATGCAATTATTTAACATTTATGCAAAATGAATGTAGTTATTGAATGTCTAATGTTATTGTAACTTGGTAAACCTTGATTAACAAAGTGGCATATTTCAAAATCTTAACATCATTTATAACACTTAAATAATTCTTTTACAAATGGATTCCATGATGCATTAAGTCCTTGTTGGATAAAGACTGATTTTTTACATTTAATAATGGTATAGTACTCTTAATTGTGGTTTTCTGCTGTATTCTAAATAGATCCATTATATTTTGTTGTAAGTATGTTCATATGTATTTATATTTGTAGAATACACTCTCATCAGCTATCTTGAACAGAAGGAAAAAGAAAATGCAAGTTGAAACTTGCAGTATATTGTTTGCTAAAATTCAGCTGTGATATGTTCCTTCTATCACAAAAGGAAAAATGGATTTTTTTCTGAAGTTTTTAAATCTGACTGTGTTATATCTGTATATACATTCTACCAGGGGAAATGCAAAGTTGTGTAGTGTTGTGAAGAGAACAGATGTGGTTTTTATCATGCGGTACTGATGTTTCATTAACGGGCAAGAGACCATGTCTAAATCTACATTTTTACTACCAACCTCACAGTGAAACCTTGTTATGATCTGCTTGGTATTGTAATTTAGCATTGTTATTTAGTCCTTTCAAAATAGTATATCATTGCAGTGTTGACTGTTAACATTTCAGAATTCTAAATAACTTCTTTAAATACACTGTATTGTAATTAAATACTGTAATTTATACAAAAGAATTTACATAAAATATGTAAGTATAATTTATTCAAATTTTCCTTGCTGTTTACCAAAACTCGTATGATAATACTCATTACTTTATGATGTAGCAAACAAAAACTTGTGATTGGCATATATATTCAGAGGTCATAATACTGTTTACAGAAAATGCACCTCACTAATTATCATTGTTTGGTTTCCTCAAGCAGCATCTGTTTCATCTTACATGATACAACATTTAAAATGTAAACAACAATAAAATTATGGTGAATGAAACTTCCTACTATTTTTTAATCTGGACTTCATGGTAACAAGGTTTTACTGTCCAGAAAACATTTAAATCTTTAACATAATGCCTTTATGAAGAGTCTACATATGTGAAAGTTTATTTTAGAGGAAGTTAGTTGCTAATAATCACAAACATAATATCACTGATAATCATATCAGATATCACGCATTCACTTTCCAAAAAGACTCTTTTATTAAAGGCCTAAATAGCAGCCTGGTTTTCATTATCATGTATCTGCCCCCCACCATACCCCTAAAAATAAAAAGACATTAAAAATTTCTAGTTCTCACCCATCACATGTTGATGATCAGTTAAAAGTTTGTTAGTACAAGTATCAGAGCCATGCTACTACTGAGCACAAATCATCAAAGTTGATTCATCATCAATAAATGGCAACACATTAAAGATTTAAATTATAGTAAGTGACGCTTTAATGCACATATCTACAAAGATTTGGTGTAACTGTAAGGATAATAATCAATAATATCTACAATAATTAAAGTATGTACTAAAAAATTCAGCCATATATGAGTCCTTGAAAACTGAGACAAAGTCTGCATGTCAGTACTATTTTCTGTTTTAATTCTTCTTATACAAATTTGTTACTGAATTATTCTGGGTATCTTGCTGTGTAATAGACCGCCATCCAAGTTAAATAAATGCTCATCAGTGGATACAAGAGTTTGTAGCTCTATTATAAGATCTCAGTTTTGTATAATCTCATATTTTCCAATGACTCATTCTATTATTGTTATCTGGTGTTTGTATATACATTTATATATATATACTTTGGTACCATTTTGTTAAAGTTAATTAACTAAAAGAACAGTAGTAGTAATAATCGATCATCATAATTGAAGATCGATTGAGCTTCTAAATCTATCTGTGCACCATGCAACCATGTGCAGTAGCCAGCCAGTAATTATGGATGCAGGATACAAGGAGCACTAGAAGGAATGGCGAGTTAAATAACAGAGAAAGGTTGTTGAGGGAGGACATTGCTGTGTTACACATATCCTCTTCACAGAAGCACATGTGACCCGTGCCGCTACTTTCCATCATGCAGACGTGATCCACCATGAATAAGTTGATCTGTAGTTGTGATGTACAAGTACGACGTACACTCTCATATTCTGATTATGTTACAATTGTAATAAAATTGAATTTGTTTTGTTTTCAATGTAATTGTTTCGTCAATACACAATTCAGTTTTTAATTTAAAAGTTTTGATATTTTTGTTTGATTTTGTAGAATCATCCGTGACAAGAAGGCAGCCATCATCATAACACGTGGAAACCATGTTGATTATAAGATGCCATGGTGGTGATACAGCAACATGTTTGATTTAGAAAGGAGAAAACAGATTGAATAAAGGTAAGAATGGCAAAAAATATACTTTCTGCACATTCTATATTTGTTTTCTGAAAGGTTTGGAGATAGTGGCAATCAGACAGCAATGGCATCAAGAAAAAATGACACACAAAGAGTAAGAGAAAATTTAAAAACACAGCACAGTTAAGTCACTTATGAATGTTCACAGAGTAAATATTCAACAACAAAAAATTAATGAACCTGAAATTCTGTGCTCATTCAATTAATGCAGTCATGCACAATACATTGCTATGTGCAAAGCATGAGAGTAAATCTGGACCAGTCTGGAGTGGTCAGAGAAAGTACCCTTCTTTGCATATGTGGGTCTGCTGTTCTAAATTGAAGAATCTGCATGCCAAATTACAGTATATTCTCAGATATTTTTTTAGTGCCTTGTTTTTTATTCTTTCATTGTTTTTAAAGAATACTCTCTGTACAATTATGGCTGTTTGTATGAGCTGTGATGAAACTTACAGAGACTGAAGATGATGTTTCTAAGTAGTTAGTTGCAAAAAACTACATCTTCATTTCCAAGTTTACTATCATGCCTGATATAGAGTTCAGAATAATAAGATTTATTTTGAAATTTATATTTAAATTTAAATGAACCAAAGAACAACCATAAATTGTATTAATTTTCATTTGTATTATTTATCATTCAGAATATAATGGAATAGTCATTGCATGTGGGATTGAGAAGTAAAAGTAAACAATGTACTCACGTGATCTTGCATTTCGGACCATTTTCACACAACAGCCATTGCATGTCATCAGTGGTGGTTGATCACGTGGCAGGGCTGTGTAGTTGAAAGGATCCTTGCAGCGAATATCCGTCCAACTGTCACATTCGTAGCAGTATATGGACCGAGCTAAGGACATCATGTTAGTTCATATATTTATACAAGCTTGTGTGAAAGTGACACAGAGGTGTGTTCACTGCATGTTTAATAACCCAGTTAGACAATGCATGTCATTACAGTAAGTAATCCTACGTATAATTTGTTTTGCTTTATTCAGTTTTTCTTGAAACAAGTCAACTTAAAAAATTTGGAATTTGTTTAATAATTCAAATCATTATATGACTCGTATCTAATTATACACTATTGTCATAATGGACCTATAGATTTTACATTTTCAATTGTTACATGTTCAAAGTTCAAGCAATAGTATTGCTTTTGCTGCTGATTGCTTTGAAGCTTGTTGTGCAGTGGGCCTCAATGATTATTGTGAAAATTCTAGTCTGGTTCATATTTTATCTACTTTCTAAGTTATTAGTGTCTCATTCTTGAAATTATTACTCCAAGTTTACTATGAAATGTTCTCCTTTAAAAGTATTGCAGCATTAATCACTAGGAGGCAAAAGAGAAGTTGATAACATTCAATCTGAATCATTCTAGACTGTTTAAGAAATATAGAGATTGTGTTTACTGGACATTTTTAGCTCATCATATAATCCAGCTAAGTTGCTTTCATTGCCTTAATTTAGAACTTTTTAGTTATATTGGGATGAACTGGTAGTTCTCAGCTGATGCTAGTCTGTTGCCGGACCGTGGACGGGAAGTGTCAGAAGCGTGTAAATATGTAGGAAGCCATATAGTATTTGCAAGTCTGCTCCATTAATTTCTCTTTTCTTTAAAATGAGTTTTTTACAGGCACATCATAAAAGATATTAGATAAAATCTTAATTAAAATACTATTTACAATTCTGTTATTTAATTATTTTTACCATTTTACAGCATAATGTTATTAAATATAAGTTAATTATCTTTCTAATATATTTTAAAATATCTTGAATTCCTCAGGTTAAAAAAGAAATCATTTATTAGTAATCTGTTAACTACATCTATGTTAGTATTAATGTACACATTCTACTCACTCTGGCATTCCTCTTCAGTTAGTGACACAGCTGCTAGGATTATCACTGCAGTTGGTGATGATCAAGTGGGAAAGACAACACACATTTCAGTCTACATACGTTCACAATTAAATATATTGGAAAAGATATGCTGGAGCTCGCCATATCTGCTTGATCTTGAAATGTATAGATGGTATAACTACTTTATTATCTGCTTGGTAGTCAATATAGATCTTTCACAATAAGCCGAAGGTCATAAAAGGTGAAGATTCTTAATATCAATTTTTGTATAGTGAGGCAGGTGGGCAGCTTAATTTTTATGGTGTGTGTGTGTATTTTGTCCTGATAGTGCAGTGTTATGTTATGGTGAGGATACAGAATAAATATAACTTGTCTGCATTTTGCATCAAATTTGTCTTACTAGGCTATGAGAAATAAAACTGGAATAAAGACTTTAACGTCAAGCAGAAAGTACTGTTCTATCTTCTAACAGAATGAGTTTGTGCTATTGATGGCAGAAACTTGTTTAGCTCCAGCGTACCTTGTCTTAATAGGGATTAAGTCTGGTATTACAGAGTTTTTACATAACAAACAAGCATTAAGACTTGTTACAGGATCTCAACTCCAACTTGTAAGCTTAATCTCAAACACATTAATCTTATTAACATGTCATTTCCCTTACTGCCATAAGGAACACTTTTGCTCTGATGGGATTAATTATTTCTCCATTTCGTGGTTTACACAGTTTCTCTGTGCCTTGAAAGTTGTATACTACTAATGGATGTGCAGCATTACAGCAGACACCAGTGTCCACCATCCTGGCATCAAGATATGACATGAGTAACTGCCACGGCAGTATACAAAATGTATTCACATTTCATTTTTGTGGGCTGGAGAGTTGGGGGTGTTAGAAAATTTGGTTAAAATGGTGTTAACTTTTATGTCGTCACAGATCTTTGTGAAATTCACTCCTGCCATCATCTCAAAATACAAATTAGTATAAATACAGCTACACTGTTATTAATCACATATTTTATGCTAATTTCTTTGAAATTTGGGTGAGAAGAATACCAAAGAACTGAATGATGGGAGATGAAAGTGATCCTAGAACATATTGCAGGTTTCCCTTCATAAAACACTAATGCTGTTGAATGTAGCAGCCCACATTTAATATTGTCATAAAACACAAAACTTATCCACAATGTAACAGTTTTACATGAAAACAGATGGCTCAGTTTCCTTAAATAATGAGTAATGTACCAATAAAGTTTATTATGTGCACTTCTTTGGTGACTTTTCTGTGTTAAGAAGTTTGATAACAAAGACAACCCATGTTGCTGCTGTGTAGAACACTAATGGTTTTTGTCTTCATTGTTACGCTTGGGCTGCACATTTGGTTTTGTGTAATGTATCTGTCATATAAATTGATAATAATAAAAACATAAAACTAAACATCACTGGTGAGTAGTTAGCACTCCTGCTTCATACCCAGTAGCTCCCAGGTGTAAATATATACCCAGAGACTAGCTATGCTGTCTGAGATTTGGCCTTCCCGGCAAATGCGGGGATAGTACCTTAAGGTAGGTCGTGACTGTTTCTTTCTATTCATTATTCCTGTCATTTGATGTGGGGTATTGTTGGCATTGTTAAATAAATGAAGAATAAGTAAATAAAAACATGGAAGTATTATGGTACTATTTTATGGTGTTTAAATAACAGAGAAAGGTTGTTGAGGGAGGACATTGCTGTGTTACACATATCCTCTTCACAGAAGCACATGTGACCCGTGCCGCTACTTTCCATCATGCAGACGTGATCCACCATGAATAAGTTGATCTGTAGTTGTGATGTACAAGTACGACGTACACTCTCATATTCTGATTATGTTACAATTGTAATAAAATTGAATTTGTTTTGTTTTCAATGTAATTGTTTCGTCAATACACAATTCAGTTTTTAATTTAAAAGTTTTGATATTTTTGTTTGATTTTGTAGAATCATCCGTGACAAGAAGGCAGCCATCATCATAACACGTGGAAACCATGTTGATTATAAGATGCCATGGTGGTGATACAGCAACATGTTTGATTTAGAAAGGAGAAAACAGATTGAATAAAGGTAAGAATGGCAAAAAATATACTTTCTGCACATTCTATATTTGTTTTCTGAAAGGTTTGGAGATAGTGGCAATCAGACAGCAATGGCATCAAGAAAAAATGACACACAAAGAGTAAGAGAAAATTTAAAAACACAGCACAGTTAAGTCACTTATGAATGTTCACAGAGTAAATATTCAACAACAAAAAATTAATGAACCTGAAATTCTGTGCTCATTCAATTAATGCAGTCATGCACAATACATTGCTATGTGCAAAGCATGAGAGTAAATCTGGACCAGTCTGGAGTGGTCAGAGAAAGTACCCTTCTTTGCATATGTGGGTCTGCTGTTCTAAATTGAAGAATCTGCATGCCAAATTACAGTATATTCTCAGATATTTTTTTAGTGCCTTGTTTTTTATTCTTTCATTGTTTTTAAAGAATACTCTCTGTACAATTATGGCTGTTTGTATGAGCTGTGATGAAACTTACAGAGACTGAAGATGATGTTTCTAAGTAGTTAGTTGCAAAAAACTACATCTTCATTTCCAAGTTTACTATCATGCCTGATATAGAGTTCAGAATAATAAGATTTATTTTGAAATTTATATTTAAATTTAAATGAACCAAAGAACAACCATAAATTGTATTAATTTTCATTTGTATTATTTATCATTCAGAATATAATGGAATAGTCATTGCATGTGGGATTGAGAAGTAAAAGTAAACAATGTACTCACGTGATCTTGCATTTCGGACCATTTTCACACAACAGCCATTGCATGTCATCAGTGGTGGTTGATCACGTGGCAGGGCTGTGTAGTTGAAAGGATCCTTGCAGCGAATATCCGTCCAACTGTCACATTCGTAGCAGTATATGGACCGAGCTAAGGACATCATGTTAGTTCATATATTTATACAAGCTTGTGTGAAAGTGACACAGAGGTGTGTTCACTGCATGTTTAATAACCCAGTTAGACAATGCATGTCATTACAGTAAGTAATCCTACGTATAATTTGTTTTGCTTTATTCAGTTTTTCTTGAAACAAGTCAACTTAAAAAATTTGGAATTTGTTTAATAATTCAAATCATTATATGACTCGTATCTAATTATACACTATTGTCATAATGGACCTATAGATTTTACATTTTCAATTGTTACATGTTCAAAGTTCAAGCAATAGTATTGCTTTTGCTGCTGATTGCTTTGAAGCTTGTTGTGCAGTGGGCCTCAATGATTATTGTGAAAATTCTAGTCTGGTTCATATTTTATCTACTTTCTAAGTTATTAGTGTCTCATTCTTGAAATTATTACTCCAAGTTTACTATGAAATGTTCTCCTTTAAAAGTATTGCAGCATTAATCACTAGGAGGCAAAAGAGAAGTTGATAACATTCAATCTGAATCATTCTAGACTGTTTAAGAAATATAGAGATTGTGTTTACTGGACATTTTTAGCTCATCATATAATCCAGCTAAGTTGCTTTCATTGCCTTAATTTAGAACTTTTTAGTTATATTGGGATGAACTGGTAGTTCTCAGCTGATGCTAGTCTGTTGCCGGACCGTGGACGGGAAGTGTCAGAAGCGTGTAAATATGTAGGAAGCCATATAGTATTTGCAAGTCTGCTCCATTAATTTCTCTTTTCTTTAAAATGAGTTTTTTACAGGCACATCATAAAAGATATTAGATAAAATCTTAATTAAAATACTATTTACAATTCTGTTATTTAATTATTTTTACCATTTTACAGCATAATGTTATTAAATATAAGTTAATTATCTTTCTAATATATTTTAAAATATCTTGAATTCCTCAGGTTAAAAAAGAAATCATTTATTAGTAATCTGTTAACTACATCTATGTTAGTATTAATGTACACATTCTACTCACTCTGGCATTCCTCTTCAGTTAGTGACACAGCTGCTAGGATTATCACTGCAGTTGGTGATGATCAAGTGGGAAAGACAACACACATTTCAGTCTACATACGTTCACAATTAAATATATTGGAAAAGATATGCTGGAGCTCGCCATATCTGCTTGATCTTGAAATGTATAGATGGTATAACTACTTTATTATCTGCTTGGTAGTCAATATAGATCTTTCACAATAAGCCGAAGGTCATAAAAGGTGAAGATTCTTAATATCAATTTTTGTATAGTGAGGCAGGTGGGCAGCTTAATTTTTATGGTGTGTGTGTGTATTTTGTCCTGATAGTGCAGTGTTATGTTATGGTGAGGATACAGAATAAATATAACTTGTCTGCATTTTGCATCAAATTTGTCTTACTAGGCTATGAGAAATAAAACTGGAATAAAGACTTTAACGTCAAGCAGAAAGTACTGTTCTATCTTCTAACAGAATGAGTTTGTGCTATTGATGGCAGAAACTTGTTTAGCTCCAGCGTACCTTGTCTTAATAGGGATTAAGTCTGGTATTACAGAGTTTTTACATAACAAACAAGCATTAAGACTTGTTACAGGATCTCAACTCCAACTTGTAAGCTTAATCTCAAACACATTAATCTTATTAACATGTCATTTCCCTTACTGCCATAAGGAACACTTTTGCTCTGATGGGATTAATTATTTCTCCATTTCGTGGTTTACACAGTTTCTCTGTGCCTTGAAAGTTGTATACTACTAATGGATGTGCAGCATTACAGCAGACACCAGTGTCCACCATCCTGGCATCAAGATATGACATGAGTAACTGCCACGGCAGTATACAAAATGTATTCACATTTCATTTTTGTGGGCTGGAGAGTTGGGGGTGTTAGAAAATTTGGTTAAAATGGTGTTAACTTTTATGTCGTCACAGATCTTTGTGAAATTCACTCCTGCCATCATCTCAAAATACAAATTAGTATAAATACAGCTACACTGTTATTAATCACATATTTTATGCTAATTTCTTTGAAATTTGGGTGAGAAGAATACCAAAGAACTGAATGATGGGAGATGAAAGTGATCCTAGAACATATTGCAGGTTTCCCTTCATAAAACACTAATGCTGTTGAATGTAGCAGCCCACATTTAATATTGTCATAAAACACAAAACTTATCCACAATGTAACAGTTTTACATGAAAACAGATGGCTCAGTTTCCTTAAATAATGAGTAATGTACCAATAAAGTTTATTATGTGCACTTCTTTGGTGACTTTTCTGTGTTAAGAAGTTTGATAACAAAGACAACCCATGTTGCTGCTGTGTAGAACACTAATGGTTTTTGTCTTCATTGTTACGCTTGGGCTGCACATTTGGTTTTGTGTAATGTATCTGTCATATAAATTGATAATAATAAAAACATAAAACTAAACATCACTGGTGAGTAGTTAGCACTCCTGCTTCATACCCAGTAGCTCCCAGGTGTAAATATATACCCAGAGACTAGCTATGCTGTCTGAGATTTGGCCTTCCCGGCAAATGCGGGGATAGTACCTTAAGGTAGGTCGTGACTGTTTCTTTCTATTCATTATTCCTGTCATTTGATGTGGGGTATTGTTGGCATTGTTAAATAAATGAAGAATAAGTAAATAAAAACATGGAAGTATTATGGTACTATTTTATGGTGTAGGGGTCCGCAGTGGCCGCGCGATCTGAGGCATGGGCCTCATGCCGCTTGGTCGCTGGGACCGTGGGTTCGAATCCAACTCAAGCCATGGATGTTTGTCCACGTTTTTCTGTGTTGTTCTGTCCTGTGTATGGGTAGATGCCTTGCGATGGACCGATCCCTCGTCCAAGGAGTCCTACCAAATATCTATAGGTGAAGCCAACGAAAAGTTGGGACCCGCAGTGCTCAGGCACTTGAGGATCGGGTCGTTCCCATTATCCAGTATCCCAGTATTTTATGGTGTGGCTTGCAGGAAAGATTGGAGGTCTGCACTAAAAAGTTTAAACACTTTATTTAAGGCTAACACTAGAGAAGTATGTTATGAAGATTAATGGATTCAGCCAGCTAAAGGTGATTAAGAACTGTGTTCCATAAGAAATGGAATTTTTTTATCTTCTGTGTAACAGTTGACTCTGTAACATGTAGCTAATGAGTTAATTCAATAATTAGTTCTGTGTGTAGAGTATGTAAATTCTGATACTGTATTTTGGTGTTGCAATAGTCTTTCAATAGAACTGGCATAGCTCAGTCAGTGTCTGACCGCAGATTGGATGACGGATTAAATCCTTGGCACAGGAAAAGGGTTTTTCCTCTGTGTTCAGACCAGCTCTGGGGCCCATACAAACTCCTTTTCAATAGGTACCAGGGGTCTTTTACCTGTGGCCATAGCATGATGCTGACTACTCACCCCCATCTAGTGCTGAGGCCAAGAATGAGTAGGAGCTATAACACCTCTCCCCCCAAACACTCCCATGGCATGTAGTGGGGCAACTCTACTTTAGTAGTATTTTAGTACAAGATCTATGATTAGTGTCATGTTAAAACTGAGTTGAGAAATTAAATACAGAGTTAAAAGTAGGCAATTTATTATAGTGAATTTACAAATAATTATATGCAACAGTAGGAATAGGAAGCTTGAGATTAAACTAAATTTAGTATTCAACATATGGCAATGAAGAAGCAAGCTCACCAAACAGGAGGGTAAACATTTAGTTGAGGAGTGGTACTTACGGGGGAAACATTCCCCAGTTGTGTACGAGATAGATGCTAGCAGAAAAACTGCGAACAGAACAAAAATACCACAAAAATACCAAATTTAAAGGAATGGAAAAACAGAGGATAATGTACTATAATAAACTGAAGAATATAGGAGATTTGTAGAATATATGAATTAGGTACTAAAATGAAAATAGCTGATTACAGCCATATCAGTCCTGAAGATTGTAAGGTTCTTTCAGAGCACAGCATTATGTGCATTTCTTGGTTAGTGTCTACCTATACAGGTTTTATACTGAGAAGTCTATTAGGATAAAATTTAAAGTGAAGAGATGGTTCAGCCAGTTATTAGAAAATCAAGACAGGGAAGACCTGGCAAGAAGTCATGAAGTGAGGACAGCTTTTCAACCATCGACGTGTATAAAATGGAAACAGTGGTAGAAGAAAAATATATGGAGGTTTTAACTTTATAGATTAATCAATCAATGGCATATCGATACAGGGAAGTCTGTGATAAGGACCAGGTGTTCTATCGTATTTTGAGGTGACGTAGTTTAACATTATCGATATTAAGCGAATTTCCGGTTTTATTGATCGATGATGTGTATTAGGTTACATACCAGTTAGACGGCTGCTTCACTAAATAGTAGTCGTATGTGCTTCAGTTCGATGTTTGAACTGTAAATTTACAATCGTTTCAACTTTAGGTGACGATTCAGATTGAATTAATATTCCAACTCAACTTAGAAATTTGTATTCCGAGAAAATAAATTATAATCACATACGTATTTATTTGTATAGACTAAAACCTCTTCATCGAAATGTGAATCATTTGACGTAGGCAGATTTACCTAAATATAGTGTTACCATCCGTGAAGTACGTAAATCTACGTGTTCAGTTATAAGATAAAGAACTGCTATGATAAACTTCATTTTGTCAGTGAAAGGTTTGCCTTCTATTGCTAAAAGTTTTGAGATAAACATTCATTCATAGTTTTACAGAGCAGCCTTGTATTGCACGGTTGCGGATATCGACTGGCACTGCGATTTGGCAATTCTTGCTGTGGTGATTTTGTGGAGGGTAGACCATTTAATGTTGAGTTATACGAAACAATTATGTTTATTCGTTGATTTAACGGCATTAACACATCAGATTATAAACTATCGAATGATTAGTGAATTGGTAGAGTGTTTGGAAGAATCCATTGTAGCTAATACAAACTACTGAATTTCAATAAAGGTGCAGAGAAAAAGTACGGGAAAGCTAATTCAGGGTTAATGGTTGTAAAACGATGATTTAACCGAAATCAGGAGCGCTTTCGATTCGGTTGAGCTTGGCTATTTACGAAAGAAAGCGGTCGTGTCATATTTTAAATGATTATCCCAGGTTGAGAAAAAACCCACGAACTACGTAAAATAGACTGTGTTGTGATCGAAATTTGGTTCAGACAAGTTCACTGTATCAATACGTGTGAAATGTATTTAAAAAGTTGCCTGTTAGCTGTACAGTGGCTTCTTCAGGAAAGTGATCAATTAAAATACAACTGTGATAGTGTAATGTTAGTAGGTCAAGTGTGCAATGAATGGACATTCTGTGTGGTGGTTCAGAGTAGTACATTCAGATGAATACCAGGAGACAGCAATGAAAGGTCAGTCAATTGTCCTTATTAATGCTTGCTGAAGCTGGCATTTATGTTTATGCATGGTCCTTAAAGTTTGAATTATGAAAAATTATCGTGAAATCGATAAGCGACCTTGTTCTCTTTATTTTCTTGCCAATTTTACGAGGAACGGTTAACGCATTTTAACTTCGGAACGACTGTTAGAGCTTCCGGTTATTACACTAGAGGTCGCTAGAAGTCGATTCCTTTGTATGCCAGGAGCTGTCTCGTAACGGGAGAGAGATTCACAGCCGGTTCGGTTTAAGGTCAGAAATATATTTCTGCGCAGTGTTGTGGGTGGTATATAGATGCAGTAAAATCTTGTTTAACACGAAACTCAAACTGGAATTGATTGCACTGTTTAAAACCGACTCCTGGTTCTTGGTACAAGAAACCATTTGAAGATGACTGCCTTCTGGCATTGTTCCGTATAGTCTTGTAGAAACTGGCCGGCATTTCATTGTTGCTTAATGCCTCCATTATCAGGCGCAACATGCCATGAGACAGTTATTTTCATAATCTTCACCGTGAGAAGCTGAAATCTCAAAGAGATATAAATCTCATTAAATCTACAACGTTCTTTTAGTCAGTTCTCTTTTACAATTTCAGAGGTTCTTTCTGTATTTGTCTGTCTAAGCCTACATTCGGTGGAAGATCGGCCAA